CTCCGGGGTTTGGCAGCTGCTTTTTCTGAGGCCTTGGGGCAAGGGGCAGCCCCGCACAGGCCAGTGCTTCTGGAAGGCCGGTATCCGCAGAGTGCCCTCCTGGTGGTCACCAGAGTGGAGGGACCGGCCATCGAGGGCCATCGAGGGCAGCCCTGAGGGCAGGGCAGTTGGTCCAGGCTGGGGTAGCATAGATTGTCACAGTGAAAAGGTGTGAGGAGAGAGGAGCCGTGCTGGCCACCGGGGCGGCCAGGGAGGTGCCTGGTCCTCCACGCCCTGTGGGCACCTGGGCACCATGGGGACATGGTGAGGCCTGCCGATCACCTCACTCGTCCCTTCTGTTCTAGGTTCCCGGGGCCCTGGAGTCCGACGGCTCTGGGTTCGAATCTCACCCCCTCTCACTAGTTGTGCAACACTGGGGGTAACTGACCCCCCCGCCGCCCCCTGCCCAGGGCTCTGCTTTAGCGTGGGGCTAACGCAGTTGCCTGCCCCGAGGGCCGCTGTGAGGGCATCTGTGGGAGCTGCTGGGCCCATCCACCTGATGCCCCCGTTTCCCCATTATTCCACCAACCCCAGCTGCGTGTCATCGGCCCGGAGTCCTGCTCTGCGCCCCCAGCAAGTCACCGGACCCACAGAGCCTCTGTTTCCTCCCCCATAAAAGGGGGCTAATGAGAGTAACCCCAATGGGGGTGCAGCAGTGCTGAGATCATCTGGGAATACTAGCTCAGCTGAGGGCGTCAACGGGAGTGGTTGTTCTTAGCTGTTTTGTTTTATCTGCCGGGAGTGTGTTTTTAAATATGCAGCCCTGCCCTCTGCCCCACAAGAAGTGTTCAGCCTCCGGGGCCTGGAGCTCCTGGGCCCTGTCCCCCCAACCCTTTGTGTGCCCGGACAGAAGATGGGGTAGTGGGGAGGAGAGAGGGATAGGGCCCGCAGGAGCTAAGCCTTCCCCCGACTATGGCTGGGGGCAGGTGCCTTAAACCTCTCCCTGGCTCTGACACAGCCCCTGGGCATTGGGAGGTTGCTCTGCTTGCGGATCTGGCTTTGCCCCCCGATGGGCAGCTGACCAAGGAAAGGAGGGCCAAGGGCTAGGAGGAAGGGCTGAGTGTGAGAACGAGCGGGTAGGGGGACAAAGGCTCTGCGAACCCTCCTCACTAGGGGCCTGCCCACGACTGCAGGAGCTAGGAGGACCCCAAGACTTAAGGAGCATTCAACAGGGCTCGGTCCCCAAAGCTGGAGTTACTGTTCTAGCTCCGACAGGGAAACCCGTTCTTCCTTGGGCGGGCGGTGCCTCCTCGCTCCCCATGGCACCCATACCTCTCTCTGACTTTACATGTATTTACAAATCTTTACCCTCCTCGTGGAAGGGACCTGGGCTTTTTCCCTGCTGCATCCCAGGATGGGTAGGATGCACTGAGGTGTTACTAGTTGTCCGATGAGTGAGCGAGCAAGTGAATGACTTGACCCGGGCTCAGTCTTGGGGGGTGTGCCTCACCCTTTTGGGGTCTGGGCCATCCCTCTCCTGGTCTCCCCTGGGGTCATGGCCTGCACACACACGTTTCTGGTTTGGCAGTCAATGCTCCCTCCATGTCCTTCCTAGAGTCCCAGGGCTGCTTGCTTTGTGGGGCCAGCCCCGCTCACCCCTCTGCTTTGGTTTTCTTCCCCATTCACTTGCCTCTGGACTAGGTGGCCTCCTCCCGGTGGCTGGTCTCTCAGCCCCCTGGCTACTCCCTGGCCCTCTCCCCTCCTGACTCTCCCACCAAGAGATCCTTCGCATTTGCCTTTCCCTCTGCTGGGAACACCGTTCTTCCTCACCTGTCTCCATTCCTCCCAGGCAGCCCCAAGCTCTCTGCAGTGTGTGCCCCTCTCCTGGCCTTGAATCGGCACATGGTCACTCTCCGCAACGGCGCTTAGCACCATCTGTGAGCGTCTTGTCACCGCGCTTCTCTCTGCTCCTCACCCGCCTATCTCTTCCATAGAAAGTCAGCTCCACGCAGGTCGGGCCTGCATCTGGCTTGCTTACCATCACCTCCCCAGTGCCTCCCCAGTGCTTCCCCAGTGCATAGCTTGAAAGCATCGCTGCATTATCAGAGCCTAGAACGAGGCTTAGCATAGAGTACCCACAATAGTGAATGAATGAATGAATGAATGAATGAGCAGATGAAGGAACACTTGAACAAATGAGAAAATGAGCTTTGGAATTGGACTACCTGGATGGTATCCTTACCAGCTCCCACGCTTGGGCCAATTACTTAGCCTCTCTGGGCCTCAGTTTCTTCATCTGAGAAAGGGGGCTACTCGTAGAGTCTGCCTCTCGGGGGTTATGTGGATCAAGCAGCAGTGTGTGAGAGCCCTAAGTGTGCGCTCTAGGAGTATCAGACAAGCTTTTCAGAAATGCAAACTCTCAATTCCCCACCACACCCCCACTGCTCTTCATCTCCGGAAATGGTACCTCCCACTGTTCACGATGACGCAGTCATCCTCGACTCTTCTTCCTTCCACACCCACGGCCCATCCTTTGGCAAATCCTGACGGCTTTTCTTAAAATACACCCCACATCCAGCCATTTTTATCTCCCCACCGCTGCTGTCCCCGGCCACCACCATCTCTTGCCTGGACTCCATCAGCTTCTCTCCAGCCCCTGCGGTCTGTGTTCTGCTCGTGGAAACCAGAAATTCTTTAAAAACACAAATCAGGGGCACCTGGGTGGCTCAGTAGGTTGGGCGTCTGCCTTTGGCTCAGGTCATGATCCCAGGGCCCTGGGATCAAGCCCCATGTTGGGCTCCCTGCTTGGCGGGGAGCCTGCTTCTCTCTCTCCCTCTGCCTGCCTCTCCCCCTGTTTGTGCTCTCTCTCTGTCAAATAAATAAATAAAATCTTTAAAAAAAAACCCAAAAAACCCACATAAATTAGCCCTGGGCTCGCTCTTGCCTTCTACCCTGCATTGGCTTCTAGGCCTACCTAGAAAAAAATCTGAGATTTCAAGGTGACCTGAGCACTCTGCTCCCCGTCTTAGGGCTCAGGATGCGCCACCTCAGGGCCTTTGCACTTGCTGCCCCCCCTGCTGCCGACCTCTCCCGGGGCTCACTCCCTCACTGCACCGGGTCCATGGTCACCTCCTCACCTCAGTGAGCCCTGTTTTGGAACTCCAGACCAGCTCCTCACCCTGCTTTCCTTTCCTCCCTGGATCCTGGGATGGGCCTGTCTCTTTGCTCTTTGTCGTTCTCTTCCCTAGAATGTGAGCAGCGCAAACGTGGGAAGCCGGTCCTGCTGCCCACCGCCTCCCGGCGCACGGGACGGTGGCAAGAGCTTGTGTTCCCTGACGCTCACAAGCGGACACACGGAAGTATGAGTGAGGGCTATGGCCATTATCAGTCTTCCTCTTCGAAAGCCAGAGAGAGCCAGGCTGAGAAGGGAGGCAATGTAACTGTGTCTGGTGAGGAAAACACCAGTGGCCTAACCCTGCCTGTCTTCTGCCGGAGACCAGTTGGCTTTCTGGGCTCGGGGCTGGGTCTGCCTCTGCTAGGGGCTCCCGCAGAAAGGCCAGGCCGGCCTGACCCGGCTCTTGCTCTTCTGTGAGAGGGAGGAGGCAGAAGCAGAGGGAGCCCCCCTTCCTCGCCCCCTGCTCCCCCTGACCTCCCCCAGGCCTGAAGTGCCCCAGAATACAACTCTCAGCAACCAGGTCTATCCCAGGAAGCTCCTGCAGAGTTTGGGGGTCCAGGGCCAAGGCCTCATCCCATCACCATCACCATTTCTACCTCTCCCATCTGTCACCCCCACCTCCACCCCAACACCCCTCTACCAGCACCACTGTTCGGGGGGTAAATTGTGTCTCCTTAAAAAGATATGTCCAGGGGCGCCTGGGTGGCTCAGTCGTTAAGCGTCTGCCTTCGGCTCAGGTCATGATCCCAGGGTCCTGGGATCGAGTCCCACATCGGGCTTCCTGCTCTGCGGGAAGCCTGCTTCTCCCTCTCCCACTCCCCCTGCTTGTGTTCCTGCTCTTGCTATGTCTCTCTCTGTCAAAAAAATAAATAAAATCTTTAAAAAAAAAAAAAAAAAAAGATATGTCCAAGTCCTACCCCCCACCCCACCTGAGAATGTGACCTTATTTGGAGACAGGGTCTCTACAGAGGTGATCAAATTAAGATGAGGTCATCAGGGCGGGCCCTCGTCCAATATGACTGGCGTCCTTCTAGAAAGGGGCAGTGTGGACGCCTTTGAAGAAGCCCCGAGAGAGGCCCGGAGCAGTTCCTTCCCCAGCACGTTTGAGGGAACACAGCCCTGCTGACATCGTATTTTGGATTTCTGGTCTCCAGAACGCGCAGACAATACATTCCAGTTGCTTTAAGCCGCCCGGTTTGTACGTTGTTAGGCAGCCCCAGGAAGTGAATGCAGATACCTCCTGTGTCACCAGCCCCGCCGTCATCACGGCCACTGTCACCTCGGCCACCCCTCCAGCCTCCTGGCCAGCATCCCCACTGTTTTGGCTTCCTGGGGCTGCATAACAAATGACCACAACCTTGGTAGCTGAAACCAAGATTATTCTCAGACTTCTGGAGGCCAGAAGGCCAAAATCAAGGGGTCCTCGGGGCTGTGTCCCTTCCCAAGACCCTGGGAAGAATCCTTCCTTGCTTCTTCCTGTTTCAGGTGGCTCCAGGTGTTCCTTGGCTTGTGGCTGCATTCCTCTCCTCTCTGCCTCAGTCTGCACTTGACCTTCTCCCCTTGGGTGTCCCGCTCTTCTCTTCTGTCTCATATACGGACACTCGTGATGTCGCTGAGGCCCCACTTGGGTAATCTAGGATGATCTCATGTCAATGTCCTTAACCTCATGACATCTACACAGACCCTTTTTCCAAACCAGGTCACATTCCACGGGTTCCAGGGATGAGGATGTGGACATATCTTTTGGGGAGGGGGCCACCATTCAACCCACTACAACTACCAGCATCCCCCCTCCCCCCGCCATCAGCATCATTGCCGACATTAGTTAAGTATTCGTATGTACTGGTGTTAGTCCCAGGACTTTTCCTGGGCCACCTTTATTCCTTAAGACAACCCAGGGCTGGTGCTGTCAACCCCACTTAACACACAAGACCGTGGGGGCTCAGAGAGAAGAATTCATTTGTCCCAGGTCTCACTTAGAAGTAAGTACTTGAACGTAGGCAGTCTGACTTCAGAGCCTTCTGCCCCCCAGCTCCTGAACTTATGATCCGTACAGATAATTCCACAGAAGGATCAGAGTGGGGTAGTGAAGAACCCTAATGGAAGGCAAGAACACCTCTAACCAGTGGCAGATCTCGGTCAGGTCTCTTCTCCTCTCTGGGCCTCACTTTGCCCACCTGTAAAATAGGGAAGCAGGAGTGGTTGGTCTGCATAATCTCCAAGGTCCTCCTACCTCCGGATGATGCTGGGTGTCATCTGTCATCTCAGTCCTATTCACACAATGCCCAGGGGCAGGACTCTCACATCAGCTAAACTCTAAACCTGTGGCCAGAGATGAGTTTTGCTTGGAAGGCCAGGGCAGGGGGAGGAGTGGAGGGCGGTGCCGCCTTCCCATATCACGGAGCTGGCAGCAAAGGACTGGGGAAGGACTGGGGGTTGGGGGCTAACTCTCTTTTCTTGGAGCCCAAGACTTTTGATTCATGCATTCAGGAAGGGCTCCAAAGCTGAGAACTGGTGGTTGCTGGGAACAGAGCTGAAGATAACTTTATCTTGCTGCGCTGCCCCAGACCCAGAGGCCTTAATCGGGAACCGGCTTGTCGCTTTAGACTCCAGGGAGTCTGGAGAGGCGATCCTGGGCCCGGAAAAGCCATGGTCGATCATCTAAGGCCAAGAGACCAGGAGAGGCTGCGGCGACCAAATCCCAAGCCTCGTGTCCTTGGAAGGGGGATAAAAACACAAAATAGGTTGGGGGTGGGGTGTGCTCTGAAAATTAAGTTTCCAAAACCTGGTCTGTTCATTAGGAGTCATTTGTTTATAAGTATAAACATCTTTTTTAAAATCCTTTTTATAATGTGAACTGCAGAGGCCTTTTTCCTCTGGCTTCTGTCTGGAGCACCAATTGTTTGCCTTTCAGCTAATAACGTTCAAGAGTGGGGAGTTGAGTTAGGGACAGAATTGCAAACTTTAATTAGCAGGATGAGATTAGCATCCCAGCAGGGGCTTGGGGGGTGGGGGCATCCTTCAGGCCCCTCAGATCCCTGGGGACACACCTCCCACAAACCCCCCCAGCTGAAGGCTCCAGTGTGGTAAGCAGGAGCCAGGCCTGCCAGAGCTTAGACCTGCCGAGTTAATCTTCCCTTGCTGGGCCTCCAGCTGAGCCTCACCCTCTTCCAAGCCTCCCAGGCCAGCCACTGGCTTTCGTTCCCCAGCCTCCGCCGGGTTTTGTCCCTGCGGGTGTCCAAGCAGAATAAAAAACTGGCTGTGTGACCTTGGGGCAGTTGCTCACCCTCTCGGGGTACCGGAGGGAGTATGGGTGGGGAGGCGGGGAGGTGTGTGTTGGAAGCGAAGCCCCAGGGGCGGTGGAGGAATGCAACCCTCCTCCCTGCACACCCAGGGCTCACGCACCACCAACCTGCCCTTGATCGGCTCAGGCAATGCTGAGAATTTTCTGGTCTTTATCTGGTTTAGTTTTAAGTGCTTCCAACGGCAGCCGAGCTGTGTCCCCAGGAAATTGGTCCACGTAGGACGGAGCCTTCCCGAGAATGAAGTCATCTGTTCCTTTTTTATTTTTTGTTGCCTTTCTCCTTCAGCACGAGTCACCCGGCCTCTGCAGTCTCTCCCCGCGCGCACACACGCCCCGCGGCGGGGGTCGGCCGGGCTGCCGGGGGAAAGGGCGAGGGGCAGGACCTCCGGGGGGCCGCGTCTGCCCGGGGCGCCCCCTCGCCGCCCCCGCCTCCCGCTCCCACCCGCGACTTCCCCGGGCCCGCCCGAAAGGTGAGCTCCCGGGAGGCCGCCCGCGCTCCGGCGCGGCCCGCTCGGCAAACAATAACAGTAAATAACGCTCCCTTGTCAACGTAATAAAAACGGAAACGGTTACAATGTTTTTTAATAAGCGTCCCCCATCAATCTGCCTCTCCCTCCGCCCTCCCTCCCGGGCCGCGGGCACCGGCGGAGAGGGGCGGGGAGCAGGGGGAAGGATGGGGCGCCGGGGCGCGCGGGATGGACCGGGGTGCCGGAGGAGGACGCCGCCGGCGGGCGGGGGGGAGAGCGGCAGCGCAGCAAGTGAGAGACGAGGGGGCGCGGGCGGCCGGGGTCACGCGCGCCAGCCGAGCCGGGAAGCGGCCGCGCTGAGTAACACCGTTGCCATGGCGACGTGGCCGCGAGGAACAGG